GTTCACACCCTGTCAAATCAAAGGAAACTTGAGCACATGGCTATTTTTGTGCTCTGCAGAACATGTCCTTTCGCTAAATGCAGTTGTCGAGCCCTCCGAGAAAAAGGTTATGTGAGGCCATTGGTTCGTTAGGAGTGAGGGTGGGAAGAGGGCAGACAAAGAGAGGGAAAGAGCCCGCATAAAGACTCATTCACAAGTCAATGAAGGCTGACTTGTGTTATAGTTACAACCACTTCTTCTGGAAGCATTTTACAAACTCTGTGGCTCATTTTTATTAAATCATGCCTGGTAAAGACATGTACACTGGTACTGGTCAAAAGTTTGGAACAATTTTGCGTTTTTTTATGTTTTGTTTAAAGGGGTGATGAACTGAGAATTCAAATTTTCCTTGAGCTTTTGACTTCTAAGGGGTCATCATATTATAAGAATATCCTGTAAGTTTCAGAACTGAAAATGTCCTTATAAAAGCTTTTATTGACACCAGCCTCAGCAAACGACTCAGTTTTTAAAGTGGGGAACTATGACGTCAAAGAGGATAAAACACCACCCCCCGTATAAGAAGATCAACGCCTACTTCAACACGGCCGGTTTAGCCCCACCCACCAATTCGTGCATTACACGCATAGCTAAATAACATAGGCCTACCTCGTGATGACAAACCGAATCGAGCTACCGAACAATAAATATGCACTGACGAGTGAAACTCATTTTAATATGCAAAACTGTTATCCACTCACAGCAGTGGGCGTTTACTTCCAAGTCTTCAATGCGAGACGCCCATAAAAACTGAGCGTTTTTGAGCAAGGCTCAAAACTAGGATACAAAATAGCCTATTACTTATTCATTTTGATGTTTTTTAATGTAAAAACCAAGCGAACGTCATAAGTTGACCTCAGACAACAATATAAAAAAAAATTAAAAAGCCAGTTCATGACACCTTTAAGAATTCTCTTATGCTCACAAAGGCTGCATTTATTTGTATCAAAAATACAGTAACAATTGCTTTATTTTGAAATAATTGTACAACTGAAAATAACTGTTTTCTTTGGAAATACATTAAAAATATATAATATATTCTTGTGATGACAAAGCTGAATTTTCAGCTTTCAGTGTCACATGATCCTTCAGAAATCATTCTAATATGCTGATTTGGAGCTCAATTATTAGTTCTCATTATTATCAATGTTAATATCAGTTTTCATCATTGAAAATAATATGAAATGTTTAAAATCAGCATTTTACTATGAAAAAAAGTTGAAAATCAGTCGACTGTGTATATATATATATATATATATATATATATATGTCAAAATACTAAATTCAGTACATTTAGTACATTTAATTTTAAAATGTATCAACTTAGAATTCTGTAATTTAAAATTTTAATAATGTTTCCAAATATTACTGATATGTTTTCAAAATATTGCATATTACTGATTTTATTGTATTTTTGATTGAATAAATGCAGCCTAAGATATGCAGCATAAGAGACTTCTTTCAAAAACATAAAACAAATGATATTTCAAACTTTTGCACGTTAGTGTAATACGAGGAACTGTTGCGAGCTAGATTCGAACCAACATTACTCACATAAGAACCACAGCTCAATATGTTAAGAACTGCACTAAGCCACAACACAGACAGAGCTGCTGCAGTCCTGAAATGGGGCCAGGGTTGCTGGGCAACATTTAACAAGCAAGCTCGCAATCATCATTAGGCTATTGTTAATGCTAACAAGCAGAGTTGCTTATCTAAACAATCATTATTATACCCTTTCTATCTAAGACTCCAACACAGTTTAACAAAACAATGTTAATGAATGATATAGCTTTTCTATTCCATTATGGATAGCCTACGTTGTGACTAGTCATCAACACGTCATGGGGGTATATGAGTGATGCTTTGTTCCATTTTGTGTCATGATAATGGATAACCCTGCCGTGTCCTTGCCCCTCAGGCCCAATAGACAGGAGTTACAAGCCTAGACAACCACAATGACTCACCAGCACTCAAAACATCACCTCACAGGAACCCCACCAGATTGTGTGCTCGTATACATGAGGGAGTTTGTTGAGTTTGTACAACTATGTTGATTTAAATTCATCTCATGCAAAAATGTTCCTTATCAGTATCGTTGCCTTATTTCAAATAACAAAAATTCATTTGCTTGAGAAACATTGTGAGCAAAACGATGTAAGATATTAAAGGGCAGAATTATTAAGTAGTGCAAATTAGTGTGAGCGCAAATTACTTCACCTCTGGAAAGATGAATGTGTATTTAAAATGGGTCATTTTTGTAGAATAAATGTGAAATTATTTTTGAATTTGGAGTTTTCTAGACTGAGAAAAGCCAGAAAATGTATTCTTGGCTTATGTGGATGAAAGACAACAACTCCCAGAATGCACTTGCTTCGCTGCCCTAGGAGGCCACGCCTACTGGTAACAGAGCGCAGTAGTTAAACAACAAGTCTAGGCTACTAGTGAGTCTCCGTGATGAGTCTGCCCGAAAATGTGTTTCGAGATCGCCCAAAATGTTCGGGATTCAGCTTTTGCGTTCTACAGTCGCCATTCATCATGTTTACTGTGGCGAGCAGGATGAGACACGGGCCGCGGGAGAAGGGCGCGAGGCCGGTGGCGTGATTACCAATGAGCGACACCTGTGAGACGCACCGGTCTCGTATCTCTCACGGAGGAGCGGGAATTTCCTTAGCAATGTTAAAACGCACAACACTTGTTTAGCGCTCATGTAAACACTACATTCAGATTCACCAATGAAATTAATTCTGTTAGATTGAAACAAAAGGTGTGCATGTAAACAATGAATGGCGACATCCGGGAAAAACATCCGGGAAAAAGAGGATGGTAACCCCGACTACTCGGCTTTCTCCACAAAACAAGAGCCAGCTAGCTTAGCTTCCAAAAAAAGATGGCTGACACTATGTGTTCATTCTGTGAGTGAGATCCACCCTCTATGGGCGGGGTGAGAACATGCGGGACAGCCTCTACTACTGACTGTAGTCTTTAGCCTCTTTCCAAAAAATCCTCTTTTCTTTTTGGCCGTTAAATAATGGTGCAAATACCAGTAAAATGACCAGCGCAAACCTTACTAAATCACCTTAAATGACCCATTTAAATACTCTCATCCCATAAAGTTTGCATCTGAAAGGGAAACTCCTTCAAATGCATGCAGTAAAGTCCGCCGCAAAAATGACCATGTCCTCAACTTTTTAGCGCGTCTCTTAAGTAAATCCTGACAGTAGTTTTTTAACACAAAGAGAGTTTGTGCTGGCATAAGCTGTTAGTAAATCTGGCCCTAAACCTTGTTAGCAGAGAATATGACTAATTCTGCTCCTTAGCCCGTGTGACCAAAGAGTTTTTTCCAGAGTCTAGTGTATTTTCCAATTGTTTTCAATGGTAGCACCACGTTTTTTTAAAGCGGCAGCAGCATGACGAGGCACTGAGCGTCAATTTCACGCTGAGTGCTGAATGCTTATCATTTTTTATCCGGTTGCAGAGAGTTGAAGAATGTTTAACTTTGGGTAAAACGCAGCAATCATCGCGGTCACTTTTTAATCAAGCCATCCAATCACAGTGGAGGAGGGGTGGGACAAATAACACACCGACCAACAGTCACGTCCTGCTTGTACAACGATTACAAACGGCAACAAAAACAACATATCTCCATCCAAAACTAGTATATGGGGGCATATAATAAGTAAAAAGAAATCGCTAGTTAATACCACTAACAAGGCTTAAAGGGATACTCCACTTTTTTTGGGGAAATAGGCTCATTTTACCACTCCCCCAGAGTTAAACAGTTGAGTTTTACCGTTTTCAAATCCATTCGGCCGATTTTCTGATATTTAGAAGAATATCAGTAACCAGACAGTATCTGGTCTCATTGACTTACATAGTAGGACAAAAATATACTATGGAAGTCAATGAGACCAGAAAGTGTCTGGTTACTGATATTCTTCTAAATATCAAAAAAAATCGACTGAATACTTTCGAAAACGGTAAGACCCAACTGTTTAACTATGGGGGAGTGGTAAAATGAGCCTATTTCCACAAAAAAGTGGAGTATCCCTTTAAAATAGCCCCACAGTAACATAATAACTAGTGCCAGAGCAAGTATTGTGTCGACATTTTTATATTCAGAAGCAAACTATTTGCAAAATCAGATACTAACAGTGCCGTATCATAGCACATATAGGGCCAGATTTCCTAAACAGGGAAAATTAGTGTGAGCGCAATCCCAAAAAAACGCAGAAGGGAGTGGAAATTTCTGCGTGTGATCTACTGATGATCTACTGACAAACGAAAGAACACAGACACAGCCAGATCATTTCCATAAAGACCAACGCAATGTATGGTTTGAAGACATGCTTTTATTGTCCATAAAATAATGGCGCAGTAAATTGACTAGCACAAACCTTAGTAAATCACCTTGCATGATTCATTTAAATACTCTCCTCCCATAAAATTTGGAGTCTGGAAGGGAAACTCCAACAAATGCATATGCAGTAAGGCCAGCCGCAAAACAAAAACAACTGTCCTCGCCTTTTCAGCACTAATTTTTCACTCCATGTCTTTAGTAAATCCTAACGCCAAGAGAGGGTTTGCGCTGGCACAAGCTGTTAGTAAACCTGGCCCATATTGTCTCCACTGAGCTAAACACTTTGGTGAACAAATGGCCTTAGAGTTAGGGGGTGATTAAATCTGATCTCTAACCTTAGTATTAAAAATAGATGTAGCAGTTTTTAACTAAAAATGACTTGAGGAAGTTTATGGCTTATCACATTCACATGACACGCAAGTGTAGTTTCACATCCTCATTTATGATTGTGTGTGACTAAGGGTCAGACTTGATTATTTGTCACAACTTTCTTGCAACACTCGTCTTACAATCTGTTGACATTGAGAAATGTCTTGTTGGATACTGATATTGATTTCCCATTTCACCACAGCGACTGACTAAAGACTGTAAAAAACTCTCTTACCTTGAGGTTTAGCAGTGAGAACCTCCCTACTGATTGACACCTTCCCAATGACATCATCTCGGCTGTGAACAGAACAGTTTTTGAGACTGTTGGTTTCTACTGAGAAGACATAAGGGTCTCACTTTATATTAGGTGTCTTAAACTACTATGGACTAACATTTAAATTAATAATTTGATAAAATGCACTTATTGTGTGCATTCATGTACATGTTTTTAAAGATTTAAAATCTTTTTTTTTTTTTAAATCCTGCATATCATTACAGCTTAATTTCTGTAATTACATATATAATTGCACTGCAATTAACTCACCTACCAATACCACCAAACCTGTCCCTAACCTTAGCCAGCAAGTAAGTTGGAATAATTGTAGTATTAGTTAGACTAACAGCAGCAAGTGTTTTGCAATACCGCATGAACACAGAACAAATGTCACACCCTTTTCCACCAAAGCATTTTCGGACCCGGCTCAGAGCCGATGCCAAATCGCAAACCAGTTCTTTGTGTTTCGACAGCCAAAAAAACGGTTCTCGGCCAAGAAATTTGGTTCCAAAGTGGCACCAACTCTTTGCTGGACTAGAACCATTGTTTTACCACGTCATGCTAACGTTGGGCTAAAACATATGGCGACATACAGTGGCATAACAATGTTTTTCGCTGGGCTCTCTAGTCAGTGGAGAAACAAACAGGGTTCTGAGAAGTTTCGCAAGTTGAACCAACTTTGAACCAGCACCAGTTCCAAAACAGATCTTTTTTGGTGGAAAGAAGGTAACATTGTACCTAATCATTTTTTTAATGTAAGTACATAGTAGTTAATGACACCTAATATAAAGTGTGATTGTCTTACATGAATCACAGTTATAATGCTGTAACAATTTATCATGTTATTTATGTCAGTAGTTGAAGGTGAAGTGGAAAAGAATTAGTTTTCTACATTTTATGAAGATAATACCCACACAAAAGTCACTTAAAGGAGAACCACGCAAAATGAACCTTTGGTCTAATAAAACATCGGTACCTAGTCAACCGTTCTCTGAGATTCGATTTCATGATAATTGAATGTAAAGAGTTTTTTCTCTAAAAACTGTATAGATTATAATGCTAGTATATGGGGGCATATAATAATTAAAAAGAAATCGTTAGTTAATAGGCCTACCCGTAACAAGGCTCAAAATAGCCCCACACAGTAACACAGTAACATAATGAGGGTCCATGCATGCAGAACGAAGCATTGAGAACTTTGTAAGTGTATAAACCATATAAACACAGTCCACTTCGTGTATAGAGGCAAGAGCCATCTTTGGAAAACAGTCTTGATAAGTCGAACCACGAACGTCGTGCTGAGTGAGCTGAACTGTATGAAGTTCAGCGAACTTCTAAACTGTATGAACGGCGTTCGTGGTTCGACTTGTCGAGACTGTTTTCCAATGCCTGTAAACACGAAGTGGACTGTCTTTATAAAGGATCTTCTTATTAAACTGTCTGTACAATTACAAAGTTCTCAATGCTTCGTTTTGCATGTAGGGTCCATTATTATGTTACTGTGTTAGTGTGGGGCTATTTTGAGCCTTGTTAGTGGTATTAACCAACGATTTCTTTTTACTTATTATATACCCCCATATACTAGCGTTATAAGTTTTTAGAGATAAAACTCTTTACATTCGATTATCATGAAAACAAATCTCAGAGAACGGTTGACTAGGTACCGATGTGTTATTAGACCAAAGGTTCATTTTGCACCGGAGTTCTCCTTTAAATGATGCTAGCGTGTTGTGGGAGGAGTCAAGAGGTATGTCCGAAATCACATACTAAGTAGGTACTACATTTGAATTTACTTTGCAACCATTAAAAAGTAGAATGTACTTTTGAATGGTTGCGAAGAAAATTCAAATGTAGTACCTACTTAGTACTATACAGTATACTCTGAAAAAGGGTAGTATGAAATTTGGACATGGGTGATATACAGTGTAACATCAGTATTCATCATTTCATTAGCTTGTGCATTCCCATTTCCATTTTTATGGTTGAGCACCAGGCGCAATGTCGGACTGCTCAAACAGACATAGCAATGTTTTGAAAGCGGAAGTCAACCTTAACGAATGGCTTACTCTCCACATCAAACTGGAAAAACGTATTTTAACAAAAAAATATATCACACACTTCACCTTTAACCATGTAAGTATGTATGTAGGTTCAGACCTGAGTGAGTCCTCATCCAGCACATAAAAAGACACTGTCCGAAAGTAGGGAGAAAGATGGACAGTGTATTCTTCGCCCCAAAACGGAGACAGTGTCTTCCATATTGTTGCTGTCCTGAGAGATAGATTAAAAAATAAATTTGAAAAATTGTAAATTATGTAAAAAATAAAATAAAATTAAACATACAAAGTAGCTAAATTCATCCTGGTATGCCTATATAAATGTGAATGAATCAAATGTGTTACTCGTTCAATACAAAACAATTCAATTGTTGAGTCTGAAACAGAATATATCTGTAAAGTCGCAATTGTGTGTTTTAAAGTCAGAATTGCGTGATATATAAAGTCACAATTGCATGTTATAAATAGAGAATTGTGAGATATAAACTCGCAATTGTGAGAAATAAATTCGCAATTCTGACTTCATAACTTGCAATAGGGAATATTATCCTATATTAATACTTTTGGAAATTCAGAGTTTATATCTCGCAATTCTGACTTTGTATCTCACAATTCTGAGAAATAAAGTCAGAATTGCAAGACCCGAAGAGCGTAAACTCTGAGATAAATGTTGCAATTATCTTTTAAAAAGTTTCATTCTGTGCAAACAAGCTTCCATAGTTTTCTGTCATTGAACTTAAGCTGACATAAAATAAAAAACAAAAATTAGATGAAAAAAATTTACTTAAGAAACAAAAATAAGACAGAAATAAAAATTAATTAAAGCTAAAACGAAAAATTGAAAAAAAATAAATAAAAACAAGACAAATGGGAAAAAAATGTATCAAACTTCCTAAAATTAAAATGAAAACCGAACATATAAAAATAAAAGTAAATTCAAAATATTAATAAATACTATAATAGTATATACTAAAATCACACTGGTCGTACTAACACACGTCATCTTGAAATAAATGGGATGTCTGGCAAAGACCCCTATGTTGGTATAAAAAAAAGACATTGATTTCTATTTAAACTTTAACAAAGCCAGACAGCAGTTTTTCTTCAACTGCAGTGATAGACAGCTGGTTCGCATACAAATGTCAATATCAAATCAGAAATTCTAAGCAAAGATAAGCATTTTGTCAATCGTCTAATGCAAGTGTGCTTTGTATATCACATTTTCAATCAACAGACTCACAAGGCTTATTTACTGCGTTAGCATAAAGCTATCCTGACGAAACAAACATCAGACTACGATCCATACTTAACATTTATTTACCTTCAGATTTGGCCTACCAGGGGGAAAAATGTGACTTATTGACCAAAGAAATCATTTTGGCTCAGCGAACAGTCAGGAACATTCACAGTATAACTGAAGTAAATAAGTTATTTTTATAGGCCCTGGAAATAAAGTGAGTCACAAAAGGGACGGTAGAGTGAATAACAAATAAAAGAATATAATAAACTTTACAAGTTCAGTTAAAAATGTCACTTCTCTCACTGTGGTAGTGGTTTATTGTTTTTGTGCATATAAAATGGATTTTCATTTCATTTTCAGAGCACCAGGAATCAATATGCCCACACTGTACTGACGGTCACAGCTATATATATTTTCCGTTTTGAACCTCCACCTTAAACTCAAATCAGAGGAGAGGTTTGTTTAGTATGATCTTTATAAAGCTGCCAACTGCCAAGTGTGGAAGTACAACCACACAGCAATCTATGGTGCAGGAGGGCTTTCAATTATGTGGCACAAATTAAATTAGTTCTGCTTCACAGCAAATTTCATTTCTAACCTGTTCAGTTTATGATAATTTACTTATTATAGGCTGTATAGCAACACAGACCAATATTAGATCACCGAACACTTGTGCTCCAATTGAAATGTGCAGAGTGTGTGTGGGGGGGGGTCATACCTACCGAATTATCGCCTCATTATCAATTTTCACGATGCAGTATGGATCACTGCTTCCAGTTCTGCAAGTGAAATGAACAATAATGTTATTGCATACTGGCAAAAACTCAATAGTTATTAATCTCATGATCACACATGATTGGTTTACGCAATCACAAATTTTAATTGCAAGTTAAAATGATGCGGTTGCTCTCTCAGATTGAAAACCAGGCTTATTTAAATATATAAAGACAGTCTTTATAGTTTGCATGCCATGGATAAATGAAAAATGTATCTTCTTATCATATTCTTTTATTCGTAAGTTTTAATTATGGCAGAGAAGGATTTTATGGCCTTATTTCAATCCACAAAGTTCAACAAAGAATGTCCCCGGTGCACTGGAGCTTTGAAGAAATTTATATGAAAGAATTGTATTAATCTTTCACTTCAAACAACCTTTATCAATCCAACCACGAGATCAATGAGATTCCAGAGGGAAGTCATTTATGGGGTAAATGATAAGACTGTCAAAGATATATACCGGTAAAGAAATATATATTTAAATCTAGCTTAAAGCATGTGCCAAATTAATGTAAGTCTTTGTATTCATGTTGGTTTATTACGGAGGCGTATTGCATTCACTTGAAGAAAAAAAAAATCTACTCTGTTTTTCTGAATTAAGGAGTTAATTTTTCATGAGAAAAAAAATTTACTCTGTTTTTCTGAATTAATGAGTTAATTTTTCATGAGAAAAAAAGTTTTTGCTCTGTTTTTCTGAATTAATGAGTTAATTTTTCATGAGAGAAAAAATATTTTGCTCTGTTTTTCTGAATTAATGAGTTAATTTTTTAATGGATTTTTTTATTTTTTTTGCTCTGTTTTTCTGAATTAACGAGTTAATTTTTCATGGAATTTTTTTTTTGCTCTGTTTTAAAAAAACAGAGTAAAAACTTTTTTTCTCACGAAAAATTAACTCATTAATTCAGAAAAACAGAGAAAAAAATATTTTCTCATGAAAAATTAACTCATTAATTCAGAAAAACAGAGAAAAAAATTTTTTCTCATGAAAAATTAACTCATTAATTCAGAAAAACAGAGCAAAAAAAATTATCATGAAAAATTAACTCGTTAATTCAGAAAAACAGAGCAAAAAAATTTTTTCTCATGAAAAATTAACTCATTAATTCAGAAAAACAGAGAAAAAAAATTTTTTCTCATGAAAAATTAACTCATTAATTCAGAAAAACAGAGCAATTTTTTTTCTCATGAAAAATTAACTAATTAATTCAGAAAAACAGAGATTTTTTTTCTTCAAGTGAATGCAATACGCCTCCGTAGTTTATATATATATATATATATATATATATATATATATTATTATTTTTTTAAGTATGTATAAAATATATACCTATATATTATGAACACTTTTTAATACAAATATCATGAATTAGTCATTCATAAAAATAATGACATTTTAAAACCTGAACAAACTGTGTCCTAAAAGGATCATAAAAAATGACATCATATTTTAAGAGACTTATTGACATTGACACAATTATAAGACAAAATTCTTTTCTATGAAGTCATTTCCTGTTTTATGTTTTTTTCCCTGTCTTTTTCTCCACATAACTTCCCTGGTCACACAACATGACTTTGATTCGCCATTAAAAATAAATATTTCGAATATTTTAACAAAACTGCTTCAATGCTCATTTTTTTTTTCTAAGAAGTAAAAAATGGTGCCAAACTCCTTGCAGCTCATTTCCTAACTTTATCCCGCACATACCGATTAAGGACATTTCTATGGAATGAAAGTGAAAACGTGGCTTTCTCCAGGTATTATAAGCTCCTCCTTGTAAGTAGTACACTTTAGATTTCACGAGTTCACACTTACATATAATTAGAGTGGATAAGACTAAATGCATATTTGGCGTGCTGTCCGGGGGGAGGGCTCCGAGCTCGGAGTTTGGCCTAAACCCAGAGTACTCCCCCCTATCTAAGTGTTTAGGGCTGGAAGTGTGGAGAAGGGGCGGTGGAGGGATGCTGCTAAACTATCAATGGATTGAGGTGAGATTGCTGAATCTATATACACCTCATTTCATTGATTGCCGAGTTCACTCCACTCTTGTTAATTACTTTGTTATTAAAAAATCATTTAAATTACAGGTACAATCATATATTCCTGTTCTTTGTTCAACAACAAAACAATCATTTTTTGTGTGTATATAACATTTCCATTATTTTAAAATGAGAGAACTTCCATTTTCATTCCGACATCGACTGCCTGTCTCAGATGAGCTGTGAATTGATAGAGCATTTGTAGAGATGTCTCTGCTGTCACTGTGAGGATATTGAAATTCCTCCGTGGAGGTAATGACTGCTCTGGGCAACTTTGAGTGTGTGTGTGTGTGTGCGGAGAGAGGAGAATGAGTGCATCATGTGGTGATTCATCTTCGCCTGTTGTTATCAGTGTAATAGGGAAACCTGTGGCTGTCAGAATCAGGTGCTACATCAAACAGCACTGAGACTTGGCAGTTAAACCACATACTATCATCCTCGTGCCACCTGCAGGAGGAGGATAGAGATGATGACAACAGAAGGAAGAGAAGAGATTCCTCTCTCGTTCTCTCAGCTTCTCTTATCTTCTGTAACCATGTTGTTCTGTTTGGGGACTGAAAGACCCCAGAGACATTTCACTAGTTAAACACATACAGTACTTGAAATTGAAAGTTGTCATGAAATCTATTTTGTAAATGCATGTTATTCGGATTTATTCACCCAAGTACACTGAAACCAAAAGAAATCCGTAAAAGCGCTGCCTACATTCTTCGAGAATCCGTTTCACTCGGATATATATCACAATAGGGATAAAGAGACTAACGCAACTTTCATTTCACGTCGACTTTAAACTTGGATGTAGATTGCAAGGTCCGTTTTAACGTGACTTTAAAAATCAGGCTGTTACTTCTTGACTTTGCGATAAAAATATTACCGCAATTAATCCAGCACCTCCATAAAAAGGACATTTTCAAACATATTATGGCGTAAGATACTGAAAAACAAAAACGCGGTGACCACTAAGGGTGTGTTTGTTCACACTTTTGGCTCAGTTATTTTTGGGTCAGGACTTGGGATCAAAAAAAGAAAATGATACATTTAGTCCACTAGACTTAGTCTTCATTCTTAGGACTGAACCCAAATATACAAAAGCAAAAACAACAACAAAACTATGATGTATATTTTATGACAGAATTGAACAAACATCGAAAATAATTCTGTGTTCTGAACTAAATGCACTCGTATGTGTTCAGGGGTGAGCGGGGCACAACCTAACGTGGGGCTAGTTGTAACACACTTGTTTTAAATACTTCCACACATGCAAGGATAACGAAACTTAGTGTATTTACTAGTTGCCATATCAACACTTTAAAAATGGAGAATTTTTTTTTGCCAAAATTCAGAAATCTTGAGATGGTCCTCACTGCAGAACACGAAATCCAGGGGGAGGAGTTGGATTCAGATACTCACACCTTATACTTAATCCTACTTATCTCCGCCCCCTGATCCCTAACCCCACCCCTAATCCTACCCATTTCCGCCCCCTGATCCCTAACCCCACCGCTAATCCTACCCATTTCCGCCCCCTGATCCCTAACCCCACCCCTAATACTACCCATCTCTGCCCCCTGATCCCTAACCCCACCCCTAATCCTACCTATCTCACCCCCGGATCCCTAACCCCACCCCCTAATCTTACCCATCTCTGCCCCCTGATCCCTAACCCCACCCCTAATACTACCCATCTGACCCCCGGATCCCTAACCCCACCCCTAATCCTACCCATCTCCGCCCCCTGATCCCTAACCCCACCCCTAATCCTACCCATCACCACCCCCTGATCCCTAACCCCACCCCTAATCCTACCCATCTCTGCCCCCGGATCCCTAACCCCACCCCTAATCCTACCCATCTCTGCCCCCCGATCCCTAATCCTACCCATCTCTGCCCCCCGATCCCTAATCCTACCCATTTCTGCCCCGATCCCTAACCCCACTCCTAATCTTACCCATCTCCGCCCCCTGATCCCTAACCCCACCCCTAATCCTACCCATCTCCGTCCCCCGATCCCTAATCCTACCCATTTCTGCCCCGATCCCTAACCCCACTCCTAATCTTACCCATCTCCGCCCCCTGATCCCTAACCCCACCCCTAATCTTATGCATCTCCGCCCCCTGATCCCTAACCCCACCCATTAATCCTACCCATCTCCACCCCTTAGATCTGATTCCAACTCCGCCCCCTGGATCGTGTACTGCAATGAGGTGCTACTGGAAATCTTTGGAGGATATCACTGAACATTTATTTAACCATAGCAAAATTTCTTGAGTCAATTTTTCTTCTCTGTTTTTTGTGTTTATCTTAAGAGTATATATCTGTTATTTGACAGTTTAAATCATAGTTGCACAGGTGTGGAAAGTTATAACACTAGCGTTACAATGTGCCTCTATTAGAACTATGCTTCTATTCTATACTTTTATGAATTCTATTGAGAAACCATAAAAAAAAGGTTCAGAATAATTATTATCATGTTTTGACCTATGCTGTATAGCTATGTTTTGCTGTGTGTTTGTTGTCAAACTTAAAAATGTATTTATTTTCAATTATTAAAAATGCCATTATTTTATATGAAAAAGTTAATAATTGTATTTCATTGAGTAAAAATTTTAGTTTGTCTTGTATATTTTTTGGATTGGATCACGATAACATTTTAACCTTTTATCTGGTCATGTTACAATGTGCCCCTCACATGTTACAACATTTCACTTCCATTCTTTTGTGGAAAATATACAGTCAAGTATACACTGACCGTATTCATAAATAATCAAAACCACATAATTGTACTAGACGTGTGAAATTAATGCGAGAAAACATAAATACGCAGTCTGAACCCTAAGTAGGTTTACACAAAGAATATTTGAGTGTTAGGTTGTGCCCCGCTCTTCCCTAGGGATGGTATATTTTTACCAGCTGAAAACACACGAAGAGCTTATAAAATATGTCAAGTCTAAACAGTGGCATGAATTCTTCCATTACACACACAAATGAAGATCTGCCGCAAGGTGACGGCGTTTCCGACGCCTGTACTGAACTGTAATTGGCAACGTAGCTCCTATGACGGGATAAACCAGGTATGCTTGAACATTCAGTCCTTTTAGGGTCCCATCTTGTGACATCACGTCCTCTTTTTGGTTTGCTGCATGTGTACATGGAAATATTCCGTATAATCAGTATATAATGTAATTGATTTGATTTGAATTGTTAATTGATTGATTACACACACATCTTTGGTATCTGGGATCTAAGACATAACATTAAAGTCATCTTAAGAGAACACAAGGGTTAAGTGGGTTCTGTGTCACAAATACATGAATCTGTCTTGACAGAGTCCAGGCCCGTGTTACAACGGAAGCTCTTTAACAAGCTACACACTCATCTGTCTGCATATTGTACACTAGCCAACTGTACAGTTTATCTGTAACTGACTAATACTGAGCTCATTCTGAACACAAATCTAACTCCCAATTGAAATCTAAGAAGCTACAAGAATATGATGAATTATGCTCTCAGATTACAACTAGGCTTAGTGCTGCACCATTAATCAAAATACAATTAAAATCCCGATATGGCATACATAACAAAGGCGTGTCCCAAACTTATTGTGAACCACTTAAAATGACTGTTGTTGTTATTGTTATATTATTTTTCTTTATATTAATTTATATTTTAATATGTTGTTTATTTTTTTTAATAATAATAATAATAATAACAGAAGACAAATGCATTTTTTATGAAAAATAATAATAATTTTCTGCCCTAAAAATGCCTATATAAACAAAATCGATTGCATATACACTTTAAAAATAAGGAAGTTGGCTTAAGTTTAGGTGGTTGCCACGGTGTTGTTATGTGATTCCTATGTTGTAAAAGATGGTGTTGCTAGGGTAATATCAAACAACGCAGGGGGAGTTACATGCAGGGGTAAGGTTTTTATTTTTTATTTATTTATTTTTTTAAAGCAATGATTATTAACAACTGTAACATGTATGTTCAGTTTTGGTTTCGTTTTCATTCTGTTCCCTGTCTTACTTTGACCGAGTTCTGTTCCCTAGTTAGTTTCCTTGGTTGTTAATTAATCTTGCACCCGTTTCTGTTCTGGTTAATTATCTCTCCCTATAGGGAAGGCTACAACGGGGTTAAATGAGCACCGGGTAAAAGGCGCCTTTGATTTTATTCTCCTCTAAACCACTAGATGGCACAAAAACTTGCCGCACATCACACTTTCCAAAACATCCGCTTTTCGAGATGTACGGAAATTTGCCTGATCCTTGATGTGACCATGGGCAGCAGCACAAAGTTGGTCTCCTTGTAAACAACAAAAATACGAATCTCTGAAAACAATGACGTCATACACATGCGTAGTTGGTTCAATCTAAAGTGTTTCATCGCCATCTAATGGCCTGGCAGCAGAATACAGCGCTTTACCCGTTTTCACATATCCGTGTGAATGGGGATCGTTTTGACAATGGTGTCGTCTGTAAAGCCTAGTTTACACGACATGATTTTAAGCCCGATTTGCAAATCGTTGAGCTCACCGACAGGTCAGGGTGTTATTGCGGGGGATTAGCGGGCGATGAACGCTTGCCAATCTGTTAGTATGAAAGAGCCAATAACGCATCAAAGACGCTCGCAGATGACTCGCAGACGCATCGCCGAGCCCAGAAAAAATATCTAGAGCTGTCACACGACTCAACCTCACGTGATGTCATGAACTACAGCCAATCAGAACAAGGCATGGGTTGAGGTCACCGGGTAAATCTTATCTCAGATTGATCTCATGAAGTAGCGTGTGTATGACACGCCAATTCGTATTTCCATTTTTGGCATGCTATCAAGACGCATAATCGCTTTTCAGCGTGTTTATGAACGCCGTTGACTTAACGTTATTACTGTATATATAAATATATGACTTACCTCAACCCCGTCCCTAAACCTAACCGTCACTGGGGTTAATGGCATTTATGACTGTTCCCTTACCATCCTAGGAAAAAAAAAGATGGCTCCCCAAATGTAGATCTACATTTTGCTTTGTTTCGCGCGGACATTTGACGACGTGTACAGACACGCGGAATCACTCGGACGTTAATGGCGTAGACATACACACGGATAGCTCAAAATGCGTAGAGATAACACGCCACTTGACTCGAAAGTGGCGTGTATGTTTACGCAAAAGTCATGATGTCATGTTGCTTATCTTTTCTTTTTTTTGCGTTTTTTCTCAGAACAAATCATTGCGCAAGCAGTTTGCAGCACTAGTTTCTGTCTGACGTCCATATTCGAGTGTTGTGTTCTTCGTCTTCTTCGCTGGGTATTGGTGCGTGTGCAGTTTCGCGTCATTTCCGGTTCGTTTTATCACGTGATTTTTCATGACAAAACGTGGTTTGTAGACAAGATATAATCATTGGGTGACAAGAGTTGTTGTCAACTCGTGTAGTGCGTTACCTCCTGTTGTAGATCAATCACATTGTGTCGTGTGGTGTGAACAGCTCAACAACTGGAACACTCCTGATTTTACAGTGAGCAAGTCATGTAGGCTAGTGTGAACCACACAGTTCAGCCTGACGTTTTAAAATCATGTAGTCTGAACTAGGCTTAAGCAGAAAACTCAAAGGAAAAACTTCTCCGTTCAATCATATCATGCCATGTAAACGTACCCTTAGTTTCCTCAATTCTATGTTCAGTCTCGTTTGTGTTGTTCATGGTTGTATAATCTTTCTCCAGAGTTTTCCTGTGCCCGTTTAATTATTAAAGACTGTTTGTTTGTTTTTTTAATCTTGATCGTTGTGCGCTTCATTGTAGCCACACACTACTGTCCTGACAGCAACAATATCAAAAATATATGATTGCACTTTCTATTTCTAATAATCTTGTAAAAGTCCCAATCAGTGAACATTTATCTCACAAAACCTGTGCTCATATTCCCTTTTCTCAGGTGCTGATTACTCACCAGCTGCTTCATTATAATTAGCATATCTTAAATAAGTCCAAAATCTACAAATCTTTCCAGAGCCTTGCAATCATTTAAAGAAAGGGTCATACTATTTACTAAAGCTCAGTCAAGGCATGTGTACATAAAGAGGGATGGTTTGGAGAACGTGTACAATCTCTCAATCTCTCCACAGCGTCAATACAAACACTCCACGTAACATCTGCTCTGACACTAACAACCCCCCCGGCTAGTTCAGTTAGTAATTTAATTTAATCTTACAAGGAAGGAAGAGAAATCAGTAACTCAGGAAAAGAAGGGCAGCGAATCACATTTTCATTGCATTGACATGACCACACTTTTGAAATGTTAATGCGGATTTCCTCGCAGAATGTGGGAGAGCTGTCCTTTCCAAATAAGCAAACTGTCGTCATTTGGGCTGTTGGTCAAAATCATGTGAGTTTCCAACCTCATACCAGACAAACGAGTGCCAAATGAATTCACAATGGAATTCTGCCAATTTCAGACAGGGAACCAATTAACAAGCTTAACTCATTAATACTGCTCATTAATGGTTTGAAAAGAGTGTGTATACAGGGGTTTGCTTCCAAAATTACGATATATATATATATATATATATATATATATATATATATAGAGAGAGAGAGAGAGAGAGAGAGAGAGAGAGAGAGAGAGAGAGAGAGAGAGAGAGAGAGAGAGAATTTTGAGATGTGGTTGATACACTGATGAGTAATAACTACCAATAATATTGATTGAGAGAAATGCACTGTTTCTGTAGTGTAATAATTCCCTATACAGGGAGCATCAGTAACACATTACACAATAAAACAGCTTTTTAAATGTCATTCATTTAAACTAAAACCATAATTTAGATATTTCTATCACACATTTTTTATATGATAAATGCTCATCCATTGTAATGCAGAACAGGTTATCATTTTGTAGGCTATAATACACTTTCATTTTGTTTCAAATATAGGATAGGATATGTTTATTAAAATGCCAGAACGGTTCTTTAAAAATCCCTAAATCCTGTTTGTTTTATGCATATCATTGTGGGGGGAAAGTGTAATGTAAAATTATTTCTAATGTAATATTTTCTTGCTTTTTTAAACTGAAATTATCTCTAATAAGGTAGGCTATCTGTGAATTTATTATTTGCTATATCTGTCAAATCCCACACTGGTTTTTAGTATATTTATCATCATGTACACTCTTGCACATATATTTTCCTTATATAAATACATATATCTTCCTATATATTTCTGTTTAAATCATCGTATAATTTCTAAGTCATCAACACTTACATGTCCTTGATTGGCAGGTTCTTTCCTTCCACAATCCTGATGAATAGTGTGCTTCGTTTAGCCATGCTGACATTCAGTGACTATATCGCGCGCCGTCACTTCTTATTCCTTCAACAACACGCATGCTTATAATAAGCGTTGCAGAAATGATAATAAGCGTTTCTATCTATAAAGCTTCTCATATGTAAAGCCTGTGCTGCGAAACGGCACCGCCGGTCAGTCCAGCGGTCGTCTACACAATCCACGCGTTACACACAGGCGGGTTTAATCTTTGTGGGTTGTTTGTGTGGAGGAGGAGTGACTGACTGACTAGAACAAACACTAGAAGAGAGACGGTTAGGCAGACGCGACGCGACTAAACTACAATGCTCCTTTTAGAATAATCGAAACTGATTTTAAAGTAAGCGGCTTTGTTGAATATTGTACTTTTGTTGTGTCGCGTCAGGTGGAGACGAGGTGTGGCGCGACGACGCGACGGGTAAATTGAATTCTCCGTGTGAGGGAAAGAGGCGTCGATCATCTCAACCTCGAGAAAGAGATACCTGAGATAAGCAAACAATTGTCTTGGTAGACTATTAGATACTAAACACATGAAAAACTATTAGGGTTACACTTTTTATTCCCTGTTTTTAAAGTCAATATTTGTTTAGACGTGTATCTTGAAGGCTTGGCTACTAAAAGCTGTTAAATGTTAAAGCGTTATAAGGGGGCGTGTTAAGGGGGGTCCGTGGACATTTTTAGAAAAAAACTGTAAAACAAATTAAACAAAAGTTGTAAGATTAAAATGAATTATTTTTTTTCTATTCAATTCAATTATAAAAAAGATTAAAATACAAATTTGATAATAATAAATTATTAAATAAAATAAAAATAAAATGTATTAGCCTATAATAGCTACACTGTATATTATTTGAAAAAAAAACTCAAAAAAATTACATATTTTCCAAATAATATTGGATACACACATATATTTCACTGTATAAATTGGATAGGCCTACATTTGATCTGCCTTTTAAATCTTAGGTTTGGGGTACCTTGCATGAGAATGACCAAATATGGGGGTCTGTGGCATAAAATATTAAAAACCAGGATAAAATATACAATTATTTGAACACACATGGGTAAGTTTTCACAATGTTTTTTAAATAATTATTCGAAAATGTTCTAGAGCTGCACACTTCACACATGAAATCTATAGGCTACCCTAATAAAAATGACAACTTGTCCCGACTTGACATTTACGGTCCACTATAATCCATCCCTTATCTTGTTGACAATTCTCAGATTGTATGTCAGTGTGGCTTTATTGTGCTCACTGTTTAAATATATGATGTTGGAGGAGAGAATTCAGAAGAAAAAAAAATGCTCCAATTTAAGTGGGATTGAAATAGATGTAAATCAACATGTAAAACCACTGCCAATAAAACACTCATTGTGAGTTTTTTGCCTACAATCGTGCATTTAAATATTTGAGGACAGCCGTCCACTTGTCCTTCATTTCTCTAAATGTCTGTCTGGCATTGCTCTTATGGGGAATGAGCCCACAGGGAAATGGCTTTTTTCTAACGATTCAATGGTATTTACGCAGTATCGAAAACATTCAAAGGGGTGATTCAGAATAGCCGAGAGCTGCAGTTTTTATTATGACTGATAAGCTCATGATGTAACCAAATAACCCCAGTCTGTTTTAATAATGGGAAGAGACTCCACACTTACTGAAATGACTCACAAAAACAAGCAAAACTGAAAAAAAATATCTCTCTAAGCTCACCAGTCGTAATTGTTTTTGAAAATTGAAAGCCTCGCTGAATGCATGCAGTTGAATAAACAAGGTTTAAAAAAAAAGACTCCTTGATTATTGTCTTTGATGGAAATGGACTCTCACATAATGTCAGCCCAATGCACTAATAGATTCTGATTTAGGCTACAAGAATGCTGTCAACATCCGGGGAAAAATCAAGAAGTGCGCCTTCATCATGGAAAAAGGAAGATGATTCATAACAGAGTTGCTTTTCAGGCAGACAAATTGACCACCTCTACTTATGAAAGGGAAGTTCATGCCATAAGGAATCTTGATTCTAAAACATTCTCAGACAACGCAGGTAAAATGCCAAATGCTGTTTAGGCTCCAGTGAGGTTTCCCATCAAATTATGTGTTTTTACAAAATATAGGCATTCTAATGCGTGAGTGTGGGCACGGGTGACTCACTGATCCAGGAATATAGACGTGAGATCCTGCACCTTTAGAGCTGTGACCAGAGGAGGGGATACACTGTGTGGGCTTCTTGTGACTCACCGATTTATCCAAGAGTTACCAGAGCACAACCCTCTCTTTATAGTGTGTTTGAATGTAAGCCGCCATTTAGCAGAGGCTTTTCATGTGGGATATGAGGCTCATGAGAAAACAGAACTATTTTGTGAGATGGTTATTTTGTATGAATTTGTATGGAAACGTAGGAGTTTTATTAAAAACAGCAAGAAAGGCCACCTATAATCTCACCCCTAAACTTAACCATAGGTCATAGATCATACGAAAGCGCAAAAATGAGATTTGACGAATCCACCACTAAATGACCAAGATGTAAAACACAGAAACTGCCATTAGAGTGTGTTCCATTGCAAAATTTAAGGGATATTTCACCCAAAAATGGATATGACTTAATTTTCATTTTTGGGTGAACTAACCCTTGTCTATTAAAGGGTTAGTTCACCCAAAAATGAAAATTAAGTCATTAATTACTCACCCCCATGCTGTACCAACCCCGTAAGACCTTCGTTCCTCTTCGGAACACAAATGAAGATTTTTTGATTAAATTTGAGAGCTGTATAACTACCACATTGGCGAATACTTGTTGTGCGAAAAAACAAACAAAAATAACGAGTTTATTCGACTATTTCTTTTCTTCCTTGTAGGCCAGAAACGAGATTTCCTTAGATTTCCACGACGCATGCGCGAGAACTGCGATCACTACTTCAGATCGCAATTCTCGCGCATGCGTCGTGGAAATCTAAGGAAATCTCGTTTCTGGCCTACAAGGAAGAAAAGAAATAGTCGAATAAACTCGTTATTTTTTTTTGTTTTTTCGCACAAAAAGTATTCGCGTCGCTTGATAAACATATAGTTGAGCCACGGTAGTCACTTGGGATATTTAAACATTTTCTTCATTGACTTTCTGGGCCGTCAAGAGGCAGTCCCTTAGGAGCCAATGTGGTAGTGAGACAGCTCTCAAATTTAATCAAAAATATCTTCATTTGTGTTCCGAAGACGAACGAAGGTCTTACGGGGTTGGTACAGCATGGGGGTGAGTAATTAATGACTTAATTTTCATTTTTGGGTGAACTAACCCTTTAAAGAGCCCCTATCATGGATTTTTGAAAATGACTGTTCATGTAGTGTGGAATATAGCTCTAAGGGAATGAAAACATCCTGCAAAGATTTATATCTGAAAGTGCACCATATATAAAGTTATTGTCTTTCAAAAGTGAGAGTCGACTCTGAAATGAATTGTTTTTGAAACGAGTCATTAGCTGTTACATCGTGACGTAGATACATATTGGCCGTGCCCAGTTACTGCTCGCGCAGACGGAAGTGTAAACTTGAAGTCTGCACATTCAAATACTTCATCATAGCATCATGTCGAGAAGACGCTGTGTTCTACAATGCAAAGATAGTTCAGCCACTTTGTTTTAATTTACCAGGGACGAGCGTGTGAAGAATCGGTGGTTAGAGTTCATATTTGCAACGATACCACAACAGTATAGCCCGATTGTGTTCTCATCATTTTAATTACAAATCGTTCAAAAACATAAATTAATTCAAATGTGGATTCGCATGCGGTTGTTCCTGAAGGAGGGCTCAGTAACTTACTCACCCAGTGTATATGGATCAGCTTCCTCCTATCAATCACAACCTGTAAGTATTATCAATAATTTTATGCGTTATGCTAACAAACAATAACTGACTGTGTCTGTCATCTGACCAATCACCGCCGATTAGCGTCACGCAAAGGAGTGGTTTGGAAAGCAGTTGTACGAATCATTTGGGTGACGGTGAGCAAATCAGTTAAAAATAAATGCATATTATAAAACAAATAAAGTGTTTTTTATCCTTGCATGCATGTTAAACTGTTTTTGGGAACTCCTAAAACAAAAATAGGAACATTTCAAATGCTATGATAGGGGCTTTTTAATGGAGATTGTCTGTCGTTTTCACTACTTTGAGGAAAGATTAAGCATGGAGCAAAATTTGTTTTACCAAAATTTACAATACATCAGTCATTCACGCTAGAGCTTGGCTAATGTATGCACTGTCATTGATGCTGTCATTGATGATGTAGATCTTCTAATGTTTCATCATCAGACTCAATGGTGGTTCTACATTGAATTACACCCTGGGCGAGACCCCCTTCGAGCGTAACCCCGATTCGCCCATGCCAAAAACCGCTACTGATCGGACTCGCGCTCGCATTGATATGCTAAAATCGACGTCATCGTTTGTTACTGTGTTTAATTTATGGTGTAAGTATGGAAGGCCAAAACGTGTGAAACTATCATGTAAACGTGTAATTACGTCTTAACACGCAATTTACATGTTAACACGTAATTATGTATTTAAGCGTAAATGACGTGTTAATGTGTAAATTGTGTTTTAAGACATAATTACGTGTTTACACGACACTTTGCATGTTCAGGAATCCAACTGAAATACAGCACTGGTTGTTCTCTCTAACGATACTCAACGACAACGCTGGAATACAAAGGCATGGACGAAGTAATGAGTGTATTATGAAATAATTCCCCAAAACAGCACAAACAAGGCAGAGATGGCAAGTTCAGCAACTGGAATTTGCTGAGGTGAAGTGACGGCTAACAGCAGACAAACGGCTAGCAGTAACATCAGCGGCAATCTACCGGTCACACAAGTCAGGGCCACGCCCTTAATTATGCAGAACTTATCACCCCCCCTTAGCCTGGTTAAAACCAGACCAATTCTCAGTTGTAACTGAGTTATGGTCTGGCCAAACATCATAGACAAATAATTTCCAGAGGGGCGTAACCAAAGGACGTCGCGGATAGACGAAAAACCAATCAGAGCGATCCAGGAGATGATGTATGCAGAGTGGCGGCCGCAGAGAAACATCTCCGAGTGTTGTTCTTTGCTCGGTTTTAACAAAAAAAGGAAACGTTTAAATCGCTTAAAACTGACGCGATAGCTGATTTCGAACGAGTGATGTTCGACAGCGGCATCCATCTTTGTAATGTAGGCTACAAAATCTGCTTCAAAATCCCAGCTCTGTCGTCATCATGTAAAGCCCGCCCAACATTTTCTGATTAGTGCCGTGATTTCGGCGGATTGGAAATGGCCTTGAATGAGCTCTTGTCAGACTAACTTTCAGAGCAAATCTAAATTTGCCGGAAGTTGTCTGGGTTTTCCCAGGCTACACCCCCCCTCACAGTTTCATGAAGGTTAAAATGAGCTATATAGACCAAAACC